CTTTCCCTTCTTCCCTCTCTTTTTTCTTTGTTTTTTGGCTGAAGCATTTGAAAATAAGTTGCAGACATGACGCTTTGTCCCTAAAAACTTGAGCATGGATCTCCTAAACAGAGACATTTTTCCCATATAACATAATTCTAGTATCGCACCCAAGAAAAACAACAAAAATTTCATAACATCATCAAATATCCAATCATGTTAAAATTTTCCCAGTCATACCAAAAATGCCTTTTAGAGCTTGGTGTTTCAAATCAAGATTCAGTCAAGGCTCATCGCATTTGGCTGTGAATTCTCTTTAGTCTCTACTATATAGGGTGTTTTAAACCCAACTTAGAACCAATTGCCAACATTTAAAACCTGGGAGGTTTCACACAGAAATCCAGATTTCTGAGTTCTAATAGATCTGGCAAGACTGGACGTGCATTTTCACATGGCAGCTATTGGTTGCCGCTAAGCGGTGACTGTCCCATTTAGGGAGCTCTCGGCTTCACCTCGGCAGCCACCCCCACCCAGTTCACTTAGCGATGTGCCCTGCAGTCCCTAGAGAGGCAGGCAGGTTGATCTTAACAGCATGGGCTCACGTCAGATGGCCCCAGATTCAATCCCAGCTCAGCCACATAATAGCTGTGTGACCTTGGCAAAGTTACTTCACCTCTCTGAGTTTTAGGTTCTTGTCTGTAAAAGGAGATAATGATGATCCCTGTCATAGGTTTGTGAGGATTCACTGAGACCAGGCTTGGAAAGCTCAGGGTTGTCACATGGTCACAGAGCTGTGACTTACCCTTTTATCATCATCCTTATTGGAATTTTCTACTCCTTGTCTACTGCAGAGGATAATGTTGTGGTCTGGGCCTCAGTCACTAGCCTTTGCTCTGCTATATATATTTAGCTGTGTGACATTGGCCAAGACTCTTAACTTCTCCAAACTTGCATTTAATCCAAATAGGAGTGGGGGTGGAGGGTGGGCAAGTGGTGTTCATGAGGTTAGTGTAGATTCAGATATGATAACAGTGCTGAGGCTGGGGCTGCTCAAAAGGCTCAGAGCACACTGAGGTCAG